ATTGGATGCTGCCTATCCACTTACAAACTCATCCTCAATACTGTTTCTTTACTCAATTCCAAAAACACAACTCTCAGTATGTCCTAATTCTTCTAATCCCCAAAGATACCCATTTCCAAACCATTTTTTTCTCCCCCTCCCCCTCTGCCATCATTCCTGGCATGTTCTACATCTGATACACCCTGTTTTCATTCTGTACCCCTGTAACCCATTCTTTACAGGTCAAAGTGATTTCACAAAATTTTATCAATGAGATTTTGTTACTTACCTGCTGAAAATCTCCCAAAGTTATTTGCACATTTAGATTTTGACTCTGAAACAGTTTCTGTGACTTCTAAGGCCCAGTGTTACTATGCCTTCTTCTATCTCTTGGTCTAGTGAAGGTCCTCTGAAATTTGCCTCTGTTGAAGTCATTTGCTTGACTCCACCTTTCACTTGGTTCGCTCCTTTGACCAGTGAGGTCACTCCTCAGATACTGCCTCTTCAAAGAGGCATCCTAGACTATCCAATTTCTCATTCTTGTATCTTATCAAATTTTATCAATTTTTTTCTTTACTTACAGCAGTCTATTTGTACTTCTTATGATCTCTTCCCCCTCATCTCTACACTAGTCACACACCCTTGAAGGAAAGCACACCCCCCAAAAATGATTTTCTCACGGACCACTGCATCTCCACTCTCTAGAACAGTGCCTGCCACAAAAAATAGACATGTAACACATGTTTACAGAATTAGTGAATGAATTAGTGCATAAATAAATGAAAATAGTGTGAAAGTTTTCTGTCATTTTTCAATGGTTTGTTGATTATTGTCTTGTCTTGATTATCCCCTTCTGAGTGAGAGTGATCTGTCAAGGAACATAAGGCAGGTAATATCACACCATAGGTAAGACAGTTTGCATAGCTCCTGATACTGGTGAGAGGCATCCAGGCACACCTAGGCAGCTGTATCAGGGCTTATCATTCCAATCAGCTTGTAGTCAGGACAATTGTTTAGGTTCTGAGCAGAAGTTGTTAGCTTACAAAGACTGACTTTTTCTGTGTTTCCTTTCCCTATTACTGTTTGCTCTTTTGATGGAATAACTTCTGTATTCACCTTTGCTCATTCCTTCTGCCAGGATGCACCTCTTAAGGTTCAATCACCAAGCACAGTTGACATGAAAGTGGGAAAGTTATGGCAACCCCATCTCATTTAAACCAATTTAACCCAATGTGATTCTACTACATCAGGTGTTTTCCCATGTGGTTTCTTGCTTTTTACACAGCTTTTCTGGGCCATTAGATCTTCTGTAGGCTATAGATACTATTTTTTGGTTTTAATTTGTTAGAGTCACCTGAATTATGACCGGAAATACGCAAGGTTCTTTAAAGCCTTCCTTTTGCTTTCTCTACTCCTCTTTTTCTGTTACCTGAGAAAATGCCCTCTGGTCAGGATCCCTATTCTTAAGACTTTCATAATTATTTCTTTCTGGCTAGCCAAGTCTCTTCACCTTGTGACTAAAATATCCCTGAAATTTGAATGAAATTTTTGCATTTTCTGTTACAAATTTTCATAAACAACAAGACTTCTGTAGGTCCAAGTACAACTCTTGTTTGTTCAGAGGGCATTGATATCTTTTCACTCGTATCTTCTTCCATTTTACAAATTGTTATCACATGAAAATGGGGATTATGCAATACAATTATAATATAGGAAGTTTTCCAACCTGCCAAGTTTCTTTGGTGATATGTTGCATGCATTATCTCATTAACTGTTCCCTACAATAATCATTGGTTTTATTTTCTGTATTATATGATGTTTTGATACTCAAAGCATCCTTAACAAGAGTTGGCCCCTCCTAGAACCATCTAATTCCTGGAGATGGCAAACAACTTATCTTTGAGCATGCCTTTCAAATGCAATCCAATCAATCCAAAGTCCACATTCCAAATAAAATTTTATTCTAACCTTCCCACAGAGAGGCAAGTTTTCCACACCCTAGATTCCGGTTCAGAATAACTAGAGGTCGTCCCTAAAACCTAGAGCCTGCTGAAAATATTCAAATGATGTAATCCTAAATGTGTTGAAATTTAGCACCTGTTCTTTCCCATGGAAACTACAATAAAGGCTCTCTGTCATGCTTTCTCCTCACATTTTCTGACTTCTGACAAACCCTGGTGCTTCCGCATGTTTCCCTACATGGCATGGGATAGTGTGCCTCCTTTTCCTGGAAAGTGTAAGCAATGATTTTTTCTTTCAAGGCAGTTGTCTCTGTCATCTCACTATTCTTGATTTAATAAAAAAATTCAAGGTATATTTTAAGATTCCAAATCTGTATAAAATAGGTGATATGAAAGTTACTAGTACCAGTACTGCAGCTGGAGAGATGAGGAGTCAGTATCTGAACAGATGACCTAACTTCTGAGCCAGTACTCTACATTAATTTGTCTTTATATATGTCTTAATATATCTAAGAAGGTTTAGGTAGGGACCACCTTATCATGGCACTTAGTCAAGCAGTTGGATATTCCCAACATAAATTATTTAGTCCTGTTCATGGTGAACCTGAACTTTTTTTCCTCAAATTTCAATTTGGTTTAAGTCCTATATTCTATAAATAGACACTGTTCCATTGCAGTGCCTTATAGAGAAATGAAATTTCCTCCATTAAATTTTGGATTGACAGATTAACATAAAGACCACACCATTGCAGAAATTTCTTTTATTCACTGGCCCTTAAATTCAGACTATTTATTCACTTACAGATATTGAACTAGGAACCAGTCTAACGGAAGAGGATAGACATTTATCCTGTGCTTTAGGACTTCAGATGCCTTTGGTTGGGGGAATCCAGCTGTTTAAAAAATGGAGTGCCTCATTTATTCCTTCACAGGAACAGGTCTTACTATACATTATTAAGACAACTTGCGTCTTGCTTCTGTCTCTCCTCCACCCCACCTTCTTGCGTTAGCCATTCTTTTCCCATCTGGAATCTCATGCTATTCTCTCTTTCCTTTAAATCTGCATTAACTCTTCCTATCTCCAGCCATCTTTCATCTCCTGAGAAACAACAGGGCCAACAGGGGCATGAGTAGATCTGAGCATCCTACAACTGAATTGCAGGAAACTCATGATGTGGCTGCCACTTGACCAGATGTTATTGCTGTTACCCACTTGTGTTAAAGACATAAGCCCTGTGACTGAAGACATATCTCATGTTCTCATCTTTTTACAGGTTGCAGTAGGAAAAGAGCCTTTTCGATTAATACTGGACCAGCATATCACAGAGTTATGAGGATTATGTATGACATTTTTACAGAAAACACAAGGATGCTCAAGTCTTGAGGAAAGACATGTGTCATTAAAACTATGGGGTGATCCTAAAATATGTAGTGGGTCTGCTTCCAGAGCCCCAGTCTCTCTTTTCTGCATCACTGTTCCCTGTAGCCTTATAGCTCTGGAGCTCACAGAGAAATGTCATCTCCCACTCTTGTCTGAATTATATCTGCTTTCTGAAAAGGATGTAATACAAGTTTTTGCCATAACTGATATGACTAGTGATAAGTAGTCTCTCTTCCTGAGGTAAGATGTGCTAATTAAAATTTTTAAACATAAACATATATGTGAGCTAAACCATTTTACAAGGGGGACTGGGGCAATATTTGTTTGTGCTCAGTTCCTCAGAACTGAGAGCAGGTAGTGTGCCTTTGTATCCTTCAGCAACTAAAGTAATAAACACTAAGAGCTTAATGCTTATTTTTGAATTACATTTCATTTTGCCAATTGTGCAGAGCCCAGTCTAATTTAACAAAAGGCTTTGAGAAAGAATACAGTAGGGCAGATGCACATAGCAACCATTAAATTAGGATACAAGAGCGAGAGCCACGCAGTGAGGGAGGATTCTGTCAGGCAAAGCAGGAAAAAGAATAATGACCAACCCAAGGAAAGCTGGAGTTCTTAGGTTTAGAACTGAAAGAAAATGAATCTGAGTTCAAAGAAATGCAGAGATTGGCCTCTAAAAATACCATGCCCCCATCTCCCCTTCTAACACTATTATGGTGACCCTTCCTGTAATCAGAAAGCTATAGATGGATTTATAAAGATTATTCCTACTATTTTTTTTTTAAGGATATCCATGTTTTTCCCAGCTCTTGCTTTTTACTGAAATAAAATGCATGGACAATAGGGACAACTTTGCATGTTGTGTTGTAAGAAGAAATGCACACTTGCCCACTTGACCAATAAACTTCAAGTGTAGGGGCATAAAGGTCTCTGAGGTAGGTCATCATAGTAGGAAGCTTCTCATTCTGGCTTTCTGCATAGGCCCAGGAAAGCTAAGCCATAGAACTGTAGCTTGCAGAGTGGTGGACCAGGCAGCCTGGTTCAGCTACCTGGAGTGGGAAATGTAGTTCAGTATCCAGGGCGGGGTTTGGCAACTTCTGCATTGGCATCAGGGAGGGAGGGAAGATGCCAGTGTCAGTTTTCAATTTGCTGCTTTCCCCAGAACTCCCTCTCCCTCTCTCCTCCTCCCTCCCCCTACTCACCCCCCATCCCCGCTTTGATTCCTGGGGAGCCACTGAAAGGGGCGCGACTTTCTCTTGGCTTGCTCAGCTATTGGGGGGAGAGTGGAGCCCTGTGAGGGGCCGGACTCATCCCCGCAGGGATTCCCAGATTTGGTGGGTGCAGCGGGACTTGGTGGGCGCCTGCGTCCCTCGCCCTGCACCGGGTCGGGATGAGCGCACAGTCAGCGCTGCCTGCCCGCCTGCTAGCTCCGAGTCGGCACTGGGAGAAAGTAACGGTCAGGGATGGAGCTGCTGCCATGACAACCCTGGCGGTCTGGGCCCGCGCGCGTCCGGGCTGCTCCCGGGAGGAAGGCGGCGCAGAGGCCGGGGGCGGCCGCTAAGCGTGGCGTCCGCGCGTCCCCGCGTCCCGTGCCGCGTCCCCGGAGGAGGCGGGGGCGCCGTCCGCCCAGCTCCCCGTGAGCCCAGAGCCTGCGCCGGGCGGCGCTCCGCGGGCTGGCGAGCGCGGGCCAGGCTGGCCGCGAGTTTCCGACCGGGCTGCGGTGAGGACATCCACGGACCGGAGGATCTTGGTCTGCACCGGCTGCGTGTCCCAGCTTGGAACTTTTTATCGCCTTCGGGTTCCAGATGCGAGACTTGGGGCTGGTTTATAAATATATCTATACATATGTGTGATCTAATAAAACATTTTCTCCTCTCCTTGAAGCAGGAGCTTTTTATGACATCTCCTTTATGTCAGAGACACTTGCCTTCTTTGGGTTATAAACTTTTGATGCCAGACCTCTGCAGAACGTGCCCAACTGAATCTTAAAGTAGCATCTTGAAGAGAGAGGCAGAAAAAGCGCAATCTGTGACCTTCATCCTTGCACCTTCCTTCTTTCTCTCCCTTCCCAGCTGTCTACCCCCTCCCCAGGGGAGCGTGGAGAAAGCTCTTTTTGGATGCAGGAGGGGGCATCTGGTTCTGCTAAGCTGGAAAGCTGAGGCAGGAATTGAGGAAGAATTATTAGACTCCGGAGAGCCTGGACTCTTTGCTTCTCCTTCTTCCTCCTTTCTGCTCCTGGTGTGCTCTCTTTTCCTTTCTGCCCACACCACTTCCTGAAACCGGCTGGTGTGCGTGGCGGGGGACCAGGACTGTGCTGCTGTCGAGTTCTGGGAAGTTGTGTCTGTCAAGGATGGGGGTCTGTGGGTACCTGTTCCTGCCCTGGAAGTGCCTCGTGGTCGTGTCTCTCAGGCTGCTGTTCCTTGTACCCACAGGAGTGCCCGTGCGCAGCGGAGATGCCACCTTCCCCAAAGCTATGGACAACGTGACGGTCCGGCAAGGGGAGAGCGCCACCCTCAGGTAGGGAGCTATCCTTCAAAGGGGGACTGAGCCCCTCAGACGTGGTTTCATGGGGAGGGGCTGAGGGAGAGAATGGAAGGCTCCTGTGGGCGATTGGAGCATGTGAGAGGGACTTTTGCAGGCCCAAAAGGTGGCAACTTGCGTCCTGTGGTTGATGATACCAGTTCTTTGGACAGGTTTGTCACTTGGTCTGGCTTTTCTGGTCTGTTATCTGGCCGGAAGTCTGCATTTGGAACTCCATGTATACATGGAGCCATGACATGGCTAGATTCACTTTTGTGTGTGTACCAAGATAAAAACATGTGGGCACTGAAATTGAAATACTGAGTGGTCAGCCAGCCCCTTGGATCCTCTCTCCCAGACCAGGAGATATGTGATGAAGTGGGGTCATCCTCAGGATGGCTAGACTTGTCCCTTTCAGCGGGATTCTTAACAATTGAAGGCTTTGGAATTACCAGGGCCAGGCCATGGCCTGTGAAGAGTTTGCTGAAGATGCAGCCACTCATGCCAACCTTGTGTGATAAATTATGAGGGCCATTTTATTTTTTCCAGCTGGGGCAAAGGAGAGGAAACATGTAGCTTTTATGCAACGACATCACTTCTGTGTGAGAAGCACAATACAGAAGCTTTTTGTTTTACCTTAATGAGTTACAGAGAATCACTTACGCACTCCAGGCAGAGGGGTGGAGATTCTTGGAATATGAACCTTTGGGGACTAGGCCCGCTGCAGCAGAGACTTTAATAAAAATGCAGCCACCACTTTCCACCAGCTCAGCAGATATCATCTTTTATCCCTTTAATGAGGCAGTCTGGTCCTAGGAGACAGATTCAGGGACGTCCCAGCTTAACTATGCCTCCCAATGTACACAGGGTGAATGCATTTGCCCTGCCTGTGACTTTGATGGTTATGGTGAAAATAAAACATTCTGACCCAGATTCTGTAGCCAAAATGCCTAGCTTCTGCAAGAGGAAAATGAGGGTGGGCTTTCCTTCCCTCTCTTCCTTTGGCTTTCCTTGTGGAACCCTCCCTGTGGAGATAAGCATCTCCCTGGGGAAAGAATGAATGCCTTTGGGAAACCAGCAATTCTTTTCTTGAACCCAAATGTTAAGTTTGCAACTTTATGATTCTTAGCTAAATCTTCTTTTGAGCTGGAGTACTGGTTCCAGATCCCTTGTATTCTGGTGCGTGGAGGCCCAAGAAGGACAGATAAGGAAGGAGGACAGAGATGTCTTTCACCTACAGCAGGAAAGACAAGTCCTTCTGGTATGCCTGCCCCAGGCAAGAGTGTACTTATTTGAAGAGTTGCTTCAAATAAGACCCCTGAGTCTGATCCCTGGGAAATGACTTGTGGGATGTACATTTGCAGTGGACTGGTTGGTTCAAAGATCTGAGTAGCACATGGAGGAAATTTGGGCAAATATTAGTAGTCTGAATGGGACGTTAGTATGTATCTTTTTATCTTTTATCTTCTAATCTTCCACTGGAGGCACAGAGGTCCAGAGTTGAATAGGGACTCAGTGTTGAACTTTGCTAAATCATCTGGCCTCTTCTTGCCCCTTGGAATTAAAGCACAAACTTAAAAACTTGAGCTTTCTGCTTTCTCTGACGCAGTGAAACAATTCTACCAGCAGAGGGCCAGCTTAGATCTACCATTTTTTATTAGCTAGTGGCCTGTTGTCATGATCTTCAATTCTAATGTTTAGCAGCTGGGCTTGGTAATGGGAATGGGAATAAAAAAGGAAAAGCTGAATACTTGATTTTTGTGCTTTGTTGGGAAAAAAACTTACATACTCAAATACAACTGTTATCTGTTACCTGATTTTGTGTTGTTGCTTTAAAAAAAAAAAGTAAGCACATATCCTATGTTGATTTCTTGTCTTTTCTGTGCATTTTACCCCAGGAAGAGAGAAATCTAGCATATTGTTTCACATTTTAATCTCTTTCTATCCTCTAAATTTTAGCTTATGCAATCTTATCTCTTATGGCTTCCTTTCTTTATTTTTATCGGTGTCTTTATGTGGCATGCTTTTGCTTTATATTCATTTTCTTCCTTCTTTCTTTCCCTCATCACTTAATTCTTATTATTCCATGATTATTACAGATTTTGATTTCACTGGAGACAATGTATCTTCAAAGAACATAAACATCTCCTGCAAATTTCTGTTTGTTTCAGTTTTTGTTTAATACATTTTTGCTTTAGAGGCAAACAGGCACATTCTAATCTTAACAAAAAACTTACTTGTCAGTACTTGGAGGGAGAGCCCATGTTTCCAGTCATTGGAAATCCACAGTTTCCCTCACCCCAGATAAATGTACTGATTTTTATTTGATGGTTCCTTTTGCTTTTAAAACCATGCTTATTTATGTATTTATTTTTGTCATGCTGGGGATCAAACTCAGGGCCTCACAAATGTTAGGAAAATGCTATGACACTCTGCTACATCCCCAGCTCTTTAATTCTTTAGCTCTATGGTCTCCTTAAAAGTGTTCATTGGGAATTCATTGCTTGGGAATTTAGTGTTCCAAATGCATTAAATATTCAGAATTTGCTAAAAAAATTAAATGATGTCTATTCCTATCAGCCACAGAAAGTCTTTTTAATATAACTGTCCTGGATCAAATTATCTCCAGTCTGTTTTTAATGTTGAATGGAGTCAGATAAGAAGCAAAGTCCTAGTAGGAAAAGGAAAGGAATCAAGAAACCTGGGTCCATCTTCAAACTCTCCAATGAAAAATTGTACAGCTTAGAGGCGGAATGATTTCCTTCCTTTGGGATATCAGTTTTGTTGTGACAGGTCTTTGATTACACTGAGAGACATTAGGAAGTGATGTGCTAAAGACGACATTGAAGTTTTGAAACTCATTTTATGTAAGTGAGGCAATATTATCTTCTTCATAACTACTTCATAAGGCTACTTAAAAAGTAAAAATAATTATCTGAATATTGAGTTATTTAGCCTTTTTGAAAGAGAGATGATATGGAAAATGAAGGTGCTATTCACTATGGTTGAATTATAGCTTCTATGAATCTGATTTGAATTCATTATTACAAATGGGCCCTCTTGGCCAGAGTCATTTCATTACAATTATCTTCTGTTGGGTTAAAAATGTTCTGTACCTTTCTTTTAGATTAGATATAACAAGTATCTAGGAGTCCTTTGTCTGAATCAGTGCCACATCAGGAAAGGAGCCTAGCATCCTAAACCTATCAGCTGGCATCTGACACACAGATGCCCACCAATTGAACCTTCTTCATGAAGCTCTGATACCTCTAAATTTACTTTGGTTTTTCTGTTAGTCCACAGTATCTGAGTACATAGACATGTTGAGGGATACCCTAAAACAGTGGTTGTATTCACTACTTATGGATGTTTTACTCAATGGGAAAAGTTTCTGCCGCAGTCTGGCTGGGCACAATTCAGGAGCCACTTGTCAAAAGAAACGAACTTTATTCTTAGAACCACACACAACAAACAAAACAGCTCCTCAGGAAAAACCCTCAGAGCCCAACTGCCACCACCGGCTTCCCATAAGCCTCTCAACCTCCCCCACTCCTCCTGCTCTTGAGGCCAATTGGCTGGGTCACTGTGGGCAGAGCCAAAATAAGTCCCCCAATGAGCTGCTCCATGGTCTGAAAGGGCAGGGAAACAGCCCGATGAGCATCACCACAGAGGAGCCAATCAGTTGGTAGCTAGAAGTTGCTGGGGCCGCTGTGAGCCAATCATCAGCTGGCAGCTGGAAGTTTGCTGGGGCCCCTTCTGCTGTGGCTCTCATCAGTTTCCACCAACATGGTGATTTATTTTGTTATTTTTGTTTTTATTTTATTTTTCAATATAGGATAAAAAATTTGGATAATCCTAGCTTGTTGATATGGGATTATGCTTACAGGCTCATTTCTACCCTGCCCCAACATTTTCATTTGGAGTTCTGAACTAATCCATTCAGAACAAGTAGGTGAGGTTTAAATGCTGCCAAGGAACAATCTGAGTAGTGGGATTTTTCCAAAGCAACTTGGGCAATAGAATTCCTGAGTACAATGTTCTGTTGTCCACCTGGGTGGTTTTCTGTATTTTTCACTTGTCATCAGCAGTTGGTCATCTGGCTTAAATTTGGAAATTCAGAGCAGCCAGTAGATTATTCAAAACATGTGCATGACTTTTGAGTTTCAATGTTTAAGGTGCCTAAGCTAAATAAGGACTATACAAGTGTAAAGGCACTGTTCTTGAGCTAAGAAAATGGAGACATAAAAAGACTTACAAGCAGGCCCAGGTCCAGAAGAGCCCTCTCACTTGACTATGATAAACTGGTTTGCTCCTTGAAGTTACCTGGAATGCTTTCTAAAAATTCCACTTGAGGTTGGAGATATAACTTAGTGTGGTAGAGAGGATGCTTAGAGTATGTGAGGCAGTGAATTCATTCCACACCAAAACAAACAAACAAAAGACAAAGAATCTAATGCCAAACTCACAAACCAAAGAAATCAACATCTCTGGAGTTAGGGTATTTAATGTATCTCTTCCAGTATTTCCAGTTTGGAGCAAAGTTGATGAACTCTGTTCTAAAGCCTTTATGCCCTATAACATCTGAGCAAGGTTGGTGTCCAGGGTCTCTCCCTCCTCCCTACTGTCCACTAAAGTGTCCCTTCCATGCATTCAGCCACCTTATAGCTACATTCGTGCTCTAGAAAGTGCTAGGCTCAGGGCCTGGGTGCTTCAGTTTGATTCTCATTCTACCTCTCACTAACTACATAGCCTTGAGCACTTCAGTGTAATTGTATATAGAAGGGAATGATATCCACCAGACCTGTAATATCAGGTGAGACAAAGTATATGGTGTTGTTCTGTTAGTTTTAGAGAAGCAGTATATTTCTCAGCGGTATTCATGGGAGATTTGTTCCAGGGCTCCCTGGATACCAAAGTTCTCAGATGATCACATCTCATTTAACCTACACACATCCTTCCAATATTTTAAATCATCTCTAGATTATTTATAATACCTA